ATATGCGTGGTTGTGAGGCTGTGTGTAGGCAGATTGTGCTGTGCTCATTCTGTGAATCTTTACCCTTGAATGTCGCAGTGACAGGGACTGTGTCTTACCCTATGCAGTGTTCCAAAGTAGCAATAACAGTCAGGCCATTACAATTAAGCATGGAAATCAGGGCAGTGCTTAACTTTAAGCATGGAAGTTAAAGAGCCCTTGTACTAATGTTCAAGTTTGAATAAGGATTCCTCTCTTTTTTTCTGACACTGATATTGGTTTCTGTTTAAGCATTGAAGCCATTGTTCATCATGAACATTTATTATTGTTGAGGATATTTTCAGCTCATTTTTCCACTTTCCAACGGTTGTGAACATCTGTGAGGACAAGTAGTTTGCAGGCTTATAGTTGATCATACATTGCAAGCGATTTCATGGCATGTGATTGTTTAGCTGAGCTATAACGTTTGCATTTATATATCTATAAACTGAGTATTAGCCATACCCACTGACAGACAACTGAATTTTTAGTATTGTGTGTAAGGTATTGTGTGTAGTCGGGTATATGGAGGGTAGATTGTTCAGGTATTATGTGTAGAGTCGGGTATATGGAGGGTAGATTGTCCAGGTATTGTGTGTAGAGTCGGGTATATGGAGGGTAGATTGTCCAGGTATTGTGTGTAAGGTATGTGTATAGAGTCGGGTACATGGAGGATAGATTGTCCAGGTATTATGTGTAGAGTCTGGTATATGGAGGGGAGATTGTCCAGGTATTATGTGTACAGGCCGGTATATGGAGGGTAGATTGTCCAGGTATTATGTGTAGAGTCGGGTATATGGAGGGTAGATTGTCCAGGTATTGTGTGTAGAGTCTGGTATATGGAGGGTAGATTGTCCAGGTATTGTGTGTAGAGTCTGGTATATGGAGGGTAGATTGTCCAGGTATTGTGTGTAAGGTATGTGTGGATATATGGAAGGTAGATTGTCCAGGTATTGTGTGTAGAGTCGGGTATATGGAGGGTAGGTTGTCCAGGTATTGTGTGTAGAGTCTGGTATATGGAGGGTAGATTGTCAGGTATTATGTGTAGAGTCGGGCGTATGGAGGGGAGATTGTCCAGGTATTATGTGTAGAGTCTGGTATATGGAAGGTAGATTGTCCAGGTATTATGTGTAGAGTCGGGTATATGGAGGGGAGATTGTCCAGGTATTGTGTGTAGAGTCTGATATATGGAGGGTACATTGTCCAGGTATTGTGTGTAGAGTCTGGTATATGGAGGGTAGATTGTCCAGGTATTATGTGTAGAGTCGGGTATATGGAAGGTAGATTGTCCAGGTATTGTGTGTAGAGTCGGGTATATGGAGGGTAGATTGTCCAGGTATTGTGTGTAGAGTCTGTTATATGGAGGGTAGATTGTCCAGGTATTGTGTGTAGAGTCTGGTATATGGAGGGTAGATTGTATAGGTATTATGTGTAGAGTCGGGTATATGGAGGGTAGATTGTCCAGGTATTGTGTGTAGAGTCTGGTATATGGAGGGTAGATTGTCCATTATGTGTAGAGTCTGGTATATGGAGGGTAGATTGTCCAGGTATTGTGTCATATGGTATTGTGTGTAAGGTATGTGTGGAGCCGTATATGGAGGGTAGATTGTCCAGGTATTGTGTGTAGAGTCTGGTATATGGAGGGTAGATTGTCCAGGTATTATGTGTAGAGTCTGGTATATGGAGAGTAGATTGTCCAGGTATTGTGTGTAGAGTCCAGGCATTGTGTGGTATAGAGTGAATTGTATATGGAGGGTAGAGGCACGAGGAGTCAGGTGGACATCCAGGTATATGGAGAGTCTGGTATATGGAGATTGTCCAGGTATTGTGTGTAGAGGAGGGTCTATTGTGTGTATGGTATGGAGGGAGATTGTCCAGGTATTATGTGTAGAGTCGTATATGGAGGGGAGATTGTCCAGGTATTGTGTGTAGAGTCTGGGTATATGGAGGGTATGTGTGTAGAGTCCAGGTATGTGTAGATTGTCAGTGGAGTGGAGGTATGGAGGGTAGGATTGTCCAGGTATTGTGTGTAGAGTCTGGCATATGGAGGTAGGCATTGTCCAGGTATTGTGGTCCAGGTAGATCCAGGTATGTGTAGAGTCGGGTACATGGAGGATAGATCGTCCAGGTATTATGTAGAGTCCAGGTATATGGAGGTAGAGTCTGGTATATGGAGGTATATGGAGGATTGTCCAGGTATTGTGTGTAGAGTCTGGTATATGGAGGGTAGATTGTCCAGGCATTGTGTGGAGGGTAGAGTCTGGTATATGGAGGGTAGATTGTCCAGGTATTGTGTGTAGAGTCTGGGTATATGGAGGGTAGATTGTCCAGGTATTGTGTGTAGAGTCTGGTATATGGAGGGTAGATTGTCCAGGTATTGTGTGTAGAGTCTGGATGGAGGGTAGATTGTCCAGGTATTGTGTGTATAGTCTGGTATATGGAGGGTAGGAAGGTGTCCAGGTGACCAGGTATATTTTATGTGTAGAGTCTGGTATATGGAGGGTAGATTGTCCAGGTATTGTGTGTAGAGTCTGTTATATGGAGGGTAGATTGTCCAGGTATTGTGTGTAGAGTCTGGTATATGGAGGGTAGATTGTCAGGTATTGTGTGTAAGGTATGTGTGGGTATATGGAGGGTAGATTGTCCAGGTATTGTGTGTAGAGTCGGGTATATGGAGGGTAGATTGTCCAGGTATTATGTGTAGAGTTGAGTATATGGAGGGTAGATTGTCCAGGTATTATGTGTAGAGTCGGGTATATGGAGGGGAGATTGTCCAGGTATTGTGTGTAGAGTCTGGTATATGGAGGGGAGATTGTCCAAGTATGTGTGTAGAGTCGGCATATGGAGGGTAGATTGTCCAGGTATTGTGTTAGGTATGTGTGTAGAGTTGGTGTACCCCGTCCGCGTATGGAGGGTAGATTGTCCAGGTATTGTGTTAGGTATGTGTGTAGAGTCGGGCGTATGGAGGGTAGATTGTCCAGGTATTGTGTTAGGTATGTGTGTAGAGTCGGGCATATGGAGGGTAGATTGTCCAGGTATTGTGTTAGGTATGTGTGTAGAGTCAGGTATATGGAGGGTATTGGTAGTTTGTAGTAGATATATAAGGACACTTATTAATGCTTGATCTCTGTTCCTGGTTTTAAGATTGTGCAACAGCCTTTATCATTAATAGTATTTAGTGAGGTATCAGAGGTACAGAGAAGCTGCGTATCTGCGTAAATTATGCAAATATTCATGTGAAAACTCAATTCTTATTAAGCCTTTTGTGTACAAGTACACTTGAATTTTTTGTAAATGCTCAATAAATTTTATCTTACATGCATACACACTAAAATAGATAAAATAACAGGTATATTGACAGGTTCTATTTCAGCACATGAACTTGGCAACTTGCAGTCTTTCTTATTGTTTCTTATATTACAGATCAAATATTAACAACAAACACGTAAACCAACATTTAAGCTTTATTATGTTTTTGCAATTAATGGAAAATGGCAAAATACCCAATTGAGCTTGAGTGAGGTAGAATTTATTTGGAAAGGAAAATTAGGATACCCAACTGAGATGAACAGAAGCGAGTACATACAGTACAACCAGAAATTATTGAGAATTTAAAGATTGTAAATTTTTTTTTTCACTCATTACTCATGTATTAAATGTGAATATTAGCAGAACATAACTCCAGATTCAAAGACAGGTGAACAGTTAGTATTTTGTCAAGTCACCATGGGCAGCAATGCAGGCTTCAATGCGGCGGGGCATACTACTGATCAAAGAAGTTAGAAAGTCGTGGTCCATACTGTCCCAATATCGGACCACCTCTTCTTTAATTTCAACAATATTTGTCAGATTTTTCTTATTGACACTTTCCTTCATAAGTCCCCAAACATTTTCTATTGGATTTAGGTCAGGGCTATAGCTTGGCCAATCTAATAATGTCATATTTTGTGTCAGAAACCAGGCCTGTGAATGCTTTGAACAATGTTTTAGGTCGTTGTCCTGCTGGAAAATCCAAAACATTTCCATAGAACATGTGAGCAGATGGAAGTAAATGTCTCTCGAGAATATCTGTGTACCGCTCACTGTTCATATTCCCTTCAAATACACAGAGGGGCGTTGCCCCTAACACAGATATGCCACCCCACACGTTAAATTTCGCAAGACTGTACTTTGGGCTGATACAAAGGTTTTCAGTTTGTTTGGTCCAGAATTTCAGTGTATTAGGAAACAGCCACACAGAACTTTCATCTGAGAAAATCACATTGTCCCAGTTAAAATTTCTATGCTGTAAGCACCAGTTCAACCTTCGCTCCTTTTGTTCAGGTTTCATGATCGGTGATGGAATTCCTCGACTTTTCTGCCAACCCATTGCATGCAGCTCAGTTCTAATTGTCTCCTTACAGACAGCCACAGTTCCTCTATCAATCATATCCAGCCTTAAGTTTTCTAAACTCCTTCGTTTGTTTGTAGAAACAAGAATACCAAGCCGCCTCCTGTCACCGACAGTCAATTTTCTGGGCCTACCTGTGCCTCCCTGGTGCTCAATGCCATATCCATTTGCAATATTTTTCAAAACACAATAAACAGTGGACAAAGGGATGCCTGTTCTACTTGAAATCACTTTAGCTGATCTGATGTCCTTGTTATAATACTCTAAAATCAACTTCCTCTTCTCTAAATCATCCATACTGAGGATCACTGTAAAATAAGTAAACAAAGGGGGATAACTCTTCACAAACTAATGAAAAAGGATTAACAGAGTTGTCTCTCTTGAATGAAACCAAGCACTTGATAGCTGGTCAAGGTTGTTTACACTAGAAATCCAATTAAACATATTCCTAAAATTCTCAATAATTTCTGGTCATACTATAACTATGAGCTCTGAGATATTGTGAAATGAGGTTGAAATTGTGGTCTAGGATGTATAAACTTATAACAGTCATGTTGTTGTTGAATGCTCATGTTTGTGTTGTTTGTTTCAGTTGGTACTTCGGTCCACTTGGTCGAGAGGAGACCAATGATATACTGATGAATGAATGTGATAGTGGCGTGTTCCTTGTACGAGAGAGCAGATCAATACGTGGAGACTTTGTGCTATGTGTCAGGTAAGTCCGCTCGGTATATGTTTAGGTGCATGACAATGTAGACTCACTACTCCGACTTGATGGTCCTGTTATTGGCTGTTTCTATCACCGATATAATCAACACACCTTATTTTCAAGGTCACCACGGCACTTTGACCACTTTTCAAACTCTCGTTAACGTGATATCTCATGAACTGTAGTACCCAATGTCTTCAAATTTGGTGACAGCCTACATTGGGGATTACGCAGACACCAGTTGCTTTGGGTGACCTTGACCTTATCTTCAAGGTCACCACGACACTTTGACCACTTTTCAAACTCTTGTTAACGCGATACATGTATCTCATAAACCATTTCACCCAATGTCTTCAATTATGTCAACAGCCTACATTGGGGGATTATGCAGACACCAGTTGCTTTGGGTGACCTTGACCTTATCTTCAAGGTCACCATGACCACTTTTCACCTCTTGTTAACTTTCTCAAACTCTTGTTAATGTCTTCATATCTCATTGGGGACTGTAGTACCCAATGTGACCTTGACCTTTATTTCAAGGTCACAGCACTTTGACCACTTTTCATTGGGGATTACGCAGACCCAATGTCTTCAATTGCTTTGGGGATTACGAGACACCAGTTGTTTTGGGTGACCTTGACCTTATCTTCAAGGTCACCATGACACTTTGACCACTTTTCAAACTCTTGTTAATGCGATACATGTATCTCATAAAACATTTCACCCAATGTCTTCAATTATGTCAACAGCCTACATTGGGTGATTATGCAGACAGCAGTCATTTCAGGCATCTTGTATGTGACAAAAAAATAAAAAGTAGTTAATGTGTTATAAATATTCCATTCTTTAGCGGCGGGGTCATTGCCATTTTAGTGACAAACACTTGTTTGATTGGACATTAACAGACATATGCATATAGCCAGTGTTTGACCTTAACACTGAACAGCTGCAGGCCCTTAGGACCCAGAACCCTAATAAGTTGTTGATCCTGATCAGAATGTATAGCCCCTATATTTTAATATGGAAATAATGCTCTTAGTTATTGGGGATGAAAAAGCTGTCGGCCATAAGGACCTGCAGAAAACAAAAGCTGTGGGTCTGAGTGGTTTTCAGTTGGCTTCGGGCCTAAGGACTGACATTGATTTTGAAAGCTGCCTATGACCCAAACATTTGGATAATGTCCCAACAAATGTCATTCAACTATTCTTGTAATGCAGGCTCTGAACACGATTTATTTGATGGGACATTAACACACATATAGATATGTCCCAAACATTCCCATGTTGTAATGCAGGCTCTGAACACGATTTATTTGATGGGACATTAACACACATATAGATATGTCCCAAACATTCCCATGTTGTAATGCAGGCTCTGAACATTAACACACATATGTCCCATTTGATGGGCTCTGAACATTAAACATTCCACATGTATGTTGTAATGCAGGCTCTGAACACGATGTATTTGATGGGACATTAACACACATATAGATATGTCCCAAACATTCCCATGTTGTAATGCAGGCTCTGAACACGATGTATTTGATGGGACATTAACACACATATAGATATGTCCCAAACATTCCCATGTTGTAATGCAGGCTCTGAACACGATGTATTTGATGGGACATTAACACACATATAGATATGTCCCAAACATTCCCATGTTGTAATGCAGGCTCTGAACACGATGTATTTGATGGGACATTAACACACATATAGATATGTCCCAAACATTCCCATGTTGTAATGCAGGCTCTGAACACGATGTATTTGATGGGACATTAACACACATATAGATATGTCCCAAACATTCCCATGTTGTAATGCAGGCTCTGAACATGATGTATTTGATGGGACATTAACACACATATAGATATGTCCCAAACATTCCCATGTTGTAATGCAGGCTCTGAACACGATGTATTTGATGGGACATTAACACACATATAGATATGTCCCAAACATTCCCATGTTGTAATGCAGGCTCTGAACATGTCCCAAACATTCCCATGTTGTAATGCAGGCTCTGAACATGATGTATTTGATGGGACATTAACACACATATAGATATGTCCCAAACATTCCCATGTTGTAATGCAGGCTCTGAACACGATGTATTTGATGGGACATTAACACACATATAGATATGTCCCAAACATTCCCATGTTGTAATGCAGGCTCTGAACATGATGTATTTGATGGGACATTAACACACATATAAATATGTCCCAAACATTCCCATGTTGTTGTAATGCAGGCTCTGAACACGATGTATTTGATGGGACATTATCACACATATAGATATGTCCCAAACATTCCCATGTTGTTGTAATGCAGGCTCTGTTGGCAACATGTACACAGTGAACACATTGTCCTTGATAAAGATACACTTCATCAAGTATATATACAGCTGTATTATGACCTAATCTCATCATGGTCTAACATAATGGCTTGGTGCCAAGGACACTTCAGTGAGCACATTCCCACACACTGTTTTATATACAAAACATTCACAAACTGCAATAGAGCATTTCCTCCCTCCTCCGTTCAGCCGCGGGAACATCACATTATCCTCCGACTACACATACCCCAGCCTGGTGTCCCCATGGTCATGCTGCTTAATGCAGACCAAAGTACATCAGATCAGAATCTCTCCCCTCCGAAACTAGTCTGAAACATACATGAAAACAGATGGAATCCTTGAAAGTGCAATACTTTGTATATGATACAGGGACATATTGAAGAGCGTTGAGTAATAAACCTGATGCCACCTGTTCAGATGCCACCTAAATACAGTCGTCACGTCTGATGTCACCCACCCTAATACACCTGTCTGATGCCACCTAAATACACCTGTCTGATGCCACCTAAATACACCTGTCTGATGCCACCTAAATACACCTGTCTGATGCCACCTAAATACACCTGTCTGATGCCACCTAAATACACCTGTCTGATGCCACCTAAATACACCTGTCTGATGCCACACCTGTCTGATGCCACCTAAATACACCTGTCTGATGCCACCTAAATACACCTGTCTGATGCCACCTAAATACACCTGTCTGATGCCACCTAAATACACCTGTCTGATGTCACCTAAATACACCTGTCTGATGTCACCTAAATACACCTGTCTGATGCCACCTAAATACAAATACACCTGTCTGATGTCACCTAAATACACCTGTCTGATGCCACCTAAATACACCTGTCTGATGCCACCTAAATACACCTGTCTGATGCCACCCTAAATACACCTGTCTGATGCCACCTAAATACACCTGTCTGATGCCACCTAAATACACCTGTCTGATGCCACCTAAATACACCTGTCTGATGCCACCTAAATACACCTGTCTGATGCCACCTAAATACACCTGTCTGATGCCACCTAAATACACCTGTCTGATGCCACCTAAATACATCTGCCTGTTTAATGCCACTTCAGTACAACATCTACCTGGTGTGTGTGTGTGTGCATGCATGCTTGTGTGTGTCTCTGTGTGTGTGTGTGTGTGTGTGTGTGTGTGTGTGTGTGTGTGTGTGTGTTTGTGTGTGTGTGTGGTTGTGTGAGTGGGTTGTCTATTTGCCTGTCTCTCTCTTGCTCACTTGCTCAATCACTTGCAGACACACACGTGTCTTGTAGTAGATTCTCCAGGCTTGGCTTCATTGTTTGCATAAAGAAATCAAATCAGCATAACTTGGATATATTAACATATCATTGCTGACCCATGTGAATTGTGTTGATTTGTGCTGTCAACTTTGTAAGAAGCCTAGAAGTGCACTATGTTGAACCAAATTCTAACCCACAATCAGTGTTATTTGTAACTGTTCATGCAAGACCATTCCCACACCTGTCTGTGAATGTGCTGATCAGTCCAATTGTGTAGCTTCACCATGAGGCATGGTGTTACCACTGTGTTGATAATTTACTTACTGGGGAATTCACTTGAGTATCTTCTGTGAGGAAAGTACAAGTGTGTCAACATAAGTATAGATTGTGTCAGCATTTGTAGAGTGTACATAACATTTTTTATATTTATGTAATACGTCAACAAAGACAACTTCCCAGATAAGTTATTTAATCTCCAACACAAACTCCTGAAGACAACAATACAAATGAGAGTCATTATTCTTGGTAGTGTTGTAACAAGCCCTGCCCATGGTCTGCATGAAGCAGTGATGGGTGTAGCCTGGGAGGACAGTGTTTGGAAACAAAAAATGATTAGCTTGGTTAACCAATCTGCCTCAGAGTCACACACATATAATTTGTATTAAACTAGACATTTCCTTCATAGGTTTTGTCGAGGTTAATAGTACATGCTAGAATGTCTGTTTAACTTGAGCCCCTGGTAAACAGAACAATGTTGGTGCTCATTCGCTCGTCACGCCTTAGTCCTGGGTTCAATGCCCCACATGGGTGTAATGTGTGAAGCCAATTTCTGGTGTTCCTGCCATGATATTGCTGGAATATTCCTAAAAGCGGTGTAAAACTGAACTCACTCACTCACTCTTGTTTCAGGGAGGATATGAAAGTCAGCCATTACATCATCAACCGCATACAAGTGGGGAACAAGACGCGGTTCCGCATCGGGGACCAGGAGTTCCCGGATATCCCTAACCTTCTTAACTTTTATAAAACACATTACCTAGATTCAACATCGTTAATAAAACCGGTAAGTTTACACACCTTGTGTCAGTAGGTCTGTTTGAATATTGTGTTGTCATGGTTACATGAATGTCAGAACTTGTTCAGAAATTGGTGTTATAAACAGCGTGACCCTCAGTAATTATGTATGTGACTTCAGTGATGTTGGGACCGTCAGTAAAATGTGTAACTGTAGTTATGTTTTAAACGAATGTGATAGTCAGTATATATGCATATTAGTGTTGGGAATTGGTTTAAATCTCATAATTGATGATTGGTTCATTGCAACCATTTTTCTGCAAATTGCACAAAATGGATTTGCAAATTTTACATCTTTAAAGGATGACTAGTGTGTAAGGAACATGAATTTCCTGGAGTCGTTAAGATAAATTCAATCATGACTTGGAACCAGCTTGTAGTGCTTATGAAATGTAACAGACAAAACCAACCTTGTGAAAAATATTGTTATTGCAAACAAGTGTTCCAAAATTGTTTGTGTTTGATTATGAGAAAACATGATCGATTGCTTGGACATTTTATCATTACGACCAATCTTTGATTATTTATATTGATCAGTCCACCACTAGTGCACATACGCAGCAACTTATGAAAATGTGTGCACACAGGGATTGTACTGTGAGTCAACAGTGAACTATGTTTATGACAAACAAACTGAGGACCCATGAATATTTGGGTCAGCAATTGTCTTCAGCAACTTATGCTTGTCGTAAGAGGCGACTAACAAGATCAGGTGGTCAGGCTCACTGACTTGGTTGACACATGTCTTCATGGCCCTATTGCGTAGATCGATGCTTATGCTATTGATCACTGGATTATCTGGTCCAGATCCAATTATTTACAGACCCCGCCATATAGCTGGAATATTGCTGAGTATGTGTTAACAATCTAACCTATCAATATAACAAACTAACAGATAGAACAAGACTTCTGCCCCCGGCCACCTGCTATTGTTTTAGATGAGATTAGCACCTATTTTTATATAACATAACTATGCTGTTTGCTGGTGTGTGTGGTTGTGTCAGGAAGTGTGCAGATGATGTTTTCTCATCCTGTTTGTGTTGGTTTTCAGGCACCAAGGATTAAGATTGTAGCCAAATATGACTTTCCTGGAAGGGTAAGTATGTCTTTATGTTCTTCATAGTGACTATTTGGTCCTGATTTTCAGATTAGTGATTTTCTTTGAATATTGTTTACTGTTTCTCTGTCCATCCATCCTCCCAGCAGACACCTGCCACTCAACAACTTTTGACACTTTCCCTATATGTAAAAACTACTGATGTATATTTTGGTATGTAGACCGGATTGTTCATTGTACAGATTAGGGAAGATGCTTTGTCCACCAAACATTACCAAGGAAACACTTCCTGGTCGACATGAATGACTGACTATTGTTAAACAAGTGCACCAGGATTTAGTTGGGCTTGCGTTGTCCCTAATTGTGTCACTGTGACAGGGAGACTTTGGCGGGGCATGTCTCAAAACATTTCAACACATTTATTACATTAGATATATGATGTATGCCATGAAAAGGAAACAGTCATTTTAATCAAAAATTTAGAAAATTTAGCTTACAAAGCAACTCTTGACATAGATGGCTAAGCAGAACAAAGCACTACTTAAGTGTTTCAGAGAATAATGTTCCTAAAGTTGTTGAGAATGTTGCAAGTGCTCGTGGTTTGGAGATAATATCTATGAAGTGCTCTAGAGTATAGACAAATAAAAAAAATGATATTTAAGTACCTCTTCCTATTTAATGAGTACTTCTAATTAACTTCTTTGAGTGGCATTTGAGAAGTTGGGAAGTATAATATAGAACAAACTTTATGGATAACAACTTCATTTTATTCATGAGTGCCACGTTTCGATACAGATTCCGTTATGCTTGACAACGGTACAAGAATCTGTATCGAAACGTCTCACGAATAAAAAGAAGTTGTTATCCATAAATGTATTTATTCAACTCAGTAAAGCTGAAATCCTAATTATCATGAGGAAACTGGATCCCATCTTCCTGGCTGGGTCAGGACTCAGCTCAACCTATCTTCCAGTTTGATAATGAACAACGGATGAATGACATCCCTCAGCTCCAGACCCTATGGGCCAGTTGCGATATAATTAGAAGTATAATATAGAACAAACTTACTTGTCAGAATTACTTATAAAACAAAAGATACAGAGAATCTCACCTGCATGTCGTTTGATCTCGAAATATGTCAGCATGAGAATTTTAAGCTTTTACGATGAGTGTTGATATATATTCTACTGACTAAATATAGAGTAACTTATGAAATGATAGTGAAGGTTAAATGAAGAAAAATTTCAGTAAAATACATTTGTGGTGTGGAGATCAGTTTCTGATATATCCACCATTTTGGGCAATACATGCATGACACCTTGATCCATACTGCTGACTAGGCTGCGTGTCACTGTCCTCGGTATTGCTGCCACAAACAGCTACCCAAACAGGTTCTGTTGGCCAGGTGCAGAGAACGGCTCACAGATGCTCTCTTGGGAACATGTCACGGCTTTAAGGGAGTTTGTCTGTCCAATATCCTTGTGCCTTCTCATCGGGGATAGTCAGTCCAATATCCTTGTGCCTTCTCATTGGGGATAGTCAGTCCAATATCCTTGTGCCTTCTCATCAGGGATAGTCAGTCCAATATCCTTGTGCCTTCTCATTGGGGATAGTCAGTCCAATATCCTTGTGCCTTCTCATCAGGGATAGTCAGTCCAATATCCTTGTGCCTTCTCATCGGGGATAGTCAGTCCAATATCCTTGTGCCTTCTCATCGGGGATAGTCAGTCTAATATCCTTGTGCCTTCTCATCAGGGATAGTCAGTCCAATATCCTTGTGCCTTCTCATCGGGGATAGTCAGTCCAATATCCTTGTGCCTTCTCATCGGGGATAGTCAGTCTAATATCCTTGTGCCTTCTCATCAGGGATAGTCAGTCCAATATCCTTGTGCCTTCTCATCGGGGATAGTCAGTCCAATATCCTTGTGCCTTCTCATCGGGGATAGTCAGTCTAATATCCTTGTGCCTTCTCATCAGGGATAGTCAGTCCAATATCCTTGTGCCTTCTCATCGGGGATAGTCAGTCCAATATCCTTGTGCCTTCTCATCGGGGATAGTCAGTAAGAACCAGGGCACGATGTTGTCTCGCATTGTCATTTGGTTGTTCCATATATCTGCTGGTAATTCAAGTGTGTACTATGACCAGATGCAAAGTTTCATCAACATATTACTGTCCATTGACAGTACCTTAGATCAGTTCTCCTGTAATGTACGATGATGTGAATACACAACAATGTCACGGTGGTATTTTTAAACGTGATCTTAGCTAAATCGCATTATTCCATTATAGGAGTGCACACTTCAGCTTCTGTGTATACACAATTATCATCCAAAACTGTGTTCCACAGGAGATATCACTTGTGTGAGATCATATGATATCTCCTAGGAGATATCGTTTTGACAGTAGATTTTGTACAATGCCCTGACAATGCTATGATGTCATCAACTTGATGGGGTCACAATGCTATGACATCGCTGCACTGCAAGTCTAATGGTAGTACGGTGTTCAGAGTTGTACATTTGTCATTGAAAACTAATGAAGAATGATTTTTGATGATAAACAGAATCTCACTCTCGTGTCTACTGATATCAATTACATCAACACTCGTTGATAAAGGTAAAAATATCCTCGGCAAGCCTCGGATATTTGTAACTTTATCAACTCGTGTTGATTGATATCAGTAGACACTTGGGTGAGATACTCTATATATCACATACTTTTCAGCATGAAGTGAAATTTCAATGTGATCAAATCTTGACTTGACACCATCGTACACAACAGCTAGATATCTCTTCACTGAGACAACACAATATTAGGTGTACCAATTCGTCGTCAACGATAATGTCAGTTCCAAATAATATCACTCTCAGCCTCTGAAGTTGGTCAGCTTCACTCTTCACACACCAAACACTGATTGTTACTGATTCAAACTAGAAACGTTACAAGAACAGTTTTGGTTGATAAATGGAGTGTTACACTTAAATATGTTTATGGCTGTTATATAATAAATACTCACTGATGAATTTATTTTGTTCTCTGCAAAGGAGACAGGGGAGGACCTATATTTGTTCCTTACAGTTGTTCCAGTTATAACCAGGGTCATATTCACATGGACTTGACTTACTTTTGGAGTGAGTGAGTGAGTGTTGATGTTATTGCAGGACCCCGAGGATCTGCCGTTCATGAAGGGGGAAGTGTTGGAAGTCATCGCCAAGGATGAGGAGAGCTGGTGGACTGCTCGCAACAACCAGGGCCGTGTCGGACAGATCCCTGTGCCCTACTTCGGCAAGGTAAGAGACACACCATGTCATTGTGAAGAATGAAACTCACTTTATACAGTGTTGTGTGAATCACAGAGACTATATAGGGGAGGTGGGGTAGCCTAGTGGTTAAAGCGGTCGCTTCGTCACACCGAAGACCCGGGTTCGAACCCCCACATGGGTGCAATGTGTGAAGCCCATTTCTGGTGTCCCTGTCGTGATATTGCTTGAATATTGCTAAAATCATGTAAAACACCACTCACTCACTTACTCACTCACTCACTCACAAAGACTATATATACAGTGTTGTATGAATCACAAAGACTATATACAGTGTTGTATGAATCACAAAGACTATATATAGAGTGTTGTATGAATCACAAAGACTATATACAGTGTTGTATGAATCACAAAGACTATATATACAGTGTTGTATGAATCACAAAGACTATATATACAGTGTTGTATGAATCACAAAGACTATATATACAGTGTTGTATGAATCACAAAGACTATATATACAGTGTTGTATGAATCACAAAGACTATATATACAGTGTTGTATGAATCACAAAGACTATATATACAGTGTTGTATGAATCACAAAGGAATCTACATATATATACAGTGTTGTATGAATCACAAAGACTATATATACAGTGTTGTATGAATCACAAAGACTATATATACAGTGTTGTATGAATCACAAAGACTATATATACAGTGTTGTATGAATCACAAAGACTATATATATGAATCACAAAACTCCACAAAGACTATATACAGTGTTGCAGTGTTGTATGAATCACAAAGACTATATATACAGTGTTGTATGAATCACAAAGACTATATATACAGTGTTGTATGAATCACAAAGACTATATATACAGTGTTGTATGAATCACAAAGACTATATATACACTGTTGTATGAATCACAAAGACTACAGTTGACTATAGTTGTGATGTGTTAATTGGTGAGCTGTGCTGTGCTGATGAATTAGGACATAAAGGAATTAGGAACAGAATCCAGTATTTACAGACTTTCGCCAAACAGCTGGTGTATTGCTGAATGTTACACATCTTCCATTGCAGTATCAGGAAGTGACAAGCCCACCTAGACCAGACTACCAGAGTCCAATACCACCAATGTTAACTGATGTAAGTACCCAATGTCTTGACAGGTATATTTTGATCAACTTTGAACCCCCAATACCCATCCCTTATATTGAGTGTTGTCTGAATGATAGCTGAACTCACTCTGCAGATGTAAGATTATAGCACTGATGTTAACTCATGTAACAACTGTCTCCAGTGATGTTATACACCACCATTGTCAACAGACAGAAGACCTGACACCACTAATCCATCAAGATGTAAGTAAAAGATGTGTCTCATGTTCTGTCATGCTTGGAGACTGCCAAATTGTTGCCACCAGACGGTACCTGATCAGACAAACCCTCTCCACAGCGATGTCTCAAAAGGAACACACAAATTCCAAGGCAGAGACAAACACCCCTGCAGAGGTGCATCCCTTTGCTGAAGGATCTGCTGTTTGTAGGTTTGAAGCCTGCCTACGATGCTTGAAATACCAGCACAAACCTGTCCTCCTCATATTCACCAAGGTGGAAAACATCCCCTTTCCCCCACATTGAGCTGAAGTGCAGTGGCAAAACTGGGTGAATCAGATGTCCCTCCTTTCACTGCCAGTGGGAACCAACCTGAGAGAGGTGTTGAGTGTTATCCTTCAACCAGACAGGGTATAACAAACTGTATTCCCTGATGGGCAAGCCATGTTTAACACCTTCCACTGTTTGGAAGCAAGTGTAGCATTATTACCAGGTTACCTCCTGATGATGTCAAGTCAGTGTCATGTGACTGTTCAGCTGGGTGCCGTTCCACTAACCGATCTTAGCCCTACGCCAATCGTAAACCCCTAAAATCCCAATCTTAGCGTGACGTTACGATCGGCATACCGTTCCACTAACCAATCTTACCCAAGTCAATCGTAAAGTTAAGATCCAAAGTCTAAGATGCTCATGACCAACTTAGGATAGCTAAAATCAATCATAGAGGAACCAAAATGGTGGCTTTCATAGTCTATGTGAAGAAGAAGAGCGAGCATTTCACCGTGAACGTCCCCTAAAACCAACCATTAGATGAATTTGTTTATTTCTGTGATGTAAACAAACACTGCACTGAAGACTTACAAGTGTGAGGCCAGTCTGACCACATTCGTCATGGGAACACAGCTGAGTCGGTGTAATACATTTGTTCAACAATATTGCACCGTCATGGTTAAGAATAGGGACGGGTCATGAAGTGAACAATGTTCTGAAACAAAGAGATACTAATATGTTTGATTTCACATGCGCTTATTTGGTGGGGGATTCTAAATTTTAAGGCAGGCTGTGTGTTTTTCAAGACCACTGACAGATTCTAGAAACGTTATCAGGTGATTTGCTTGTGGCGAGGTAGAGGTGATCACACTTGCCCCTGAAACCAAGGTGCTCACTACCCTAATATTTTGCTCGAGGTTTTTTCTCCATGTTTACACTTGGTTCCAAAACTACTTCCACGCATTTCTCTTTCTCTCGCACGAAAGAGTCTCGATCTAAGCTTAGATCGGATCGTAAGATCGGGACCGGCTATGATCGACCTAAATCGGTTAGTGGAATGGGTGTACCTTTTAGCTAAGACGATTGTAAAATAGGCGTAACTTGCTAAGATTGATCTTAGATAAGATCGGTTAGTGGAACGGCACCCTGGTGAAATATACAAAATGTTTGTTGCCATGACACTGTGATATTTCCAGCTTATTAAAGATCAGGTGGTCAGACTCGCTGACTTGGTTGTCATCGTGTCCCAATTGCGTGGGTCGATGCTCATGCTGTTGATCACTGGCTTGTCTGGTCCACACTCGATTATTTACAGACCGCTGCCATATAGCTTGAATATTGCTGAGTGTGGCGTAAAACTAAACTCACACCTTCACTCACTACTTGAATGAGATAAATACAGATACATCTTGTGTATGTATAATTCTTGCTTGTTTGTTTCCAGGTAACTCTGCCAGCAAAGGCTACTGTGATCACCCAGCGGATACCCAATGCTTACGACAAAACACAGCTGAAGCTATTGGTAGGTTGACTCATACAGAGGGGTTCTCAATGCTTACGACAAAACACAGCTGAAGCTATTGGTAGGTTGACTCATACAAAGGGGTTCTCAATGCTTAGGACAAAACACAGCTGAAGCTATTGGTAGGTTGACTCATACAGAGGGGTTCTCAAGCTTACTCACAGCTGAAGCTTTGCCAAGCAGACTCATACATGTGGGTTAATGCCTACTATGTTGGTTGACAGGATATACTATGTTGGGTTGAAGCAATGCCCTCATGATGATCCTGGGTCGCTAGCCTCACATCCACTAAGAAGTTGCATTTTTATGAGTCTGTTCCAGAGGACGAGAGTAAAGTGTATTTACTTCCCCTGGGGTTGCAGTGTTTGCAGAAAACCTGCGTATCTGACTCTCAAAAACATGTCCATGACTCCCTCTCATCACACAAGGATGTGGCTGCAACATTGCTGATGTGCGTTAAATTTTAAATCTTTTGCTTGCCCATGCTCTGCGCTGTTCAGAGGCCCAAGCTCTGTGCTTAAGCTTGGTAGTTGGACCCAAGTGATCCCAGTGTGACGTTTCTAATCATGTTTTGTCACTGCTGGATGACTCGTCTGCCCATTTTAGTCGTGTGGAGGGTGCCCAGTTTAGAACTGTATATTGATAGTTGTGATCGGTCAGTCTTGTGTGTACGATGTTGTCTCATGAAACAACCTTGGTTCATTCCGCACATGGATGTAGGAGGTGAACTTTATTCTCACTGTCCAAAGCCCCACTGTTAAAAATTTATGTCTATTTCAGAAAGGGGAGATAATCACGGTCACAGCGATGAATGTTAACGGACAGTGGGAGGGGGAGGTGAATGGAAGAACTGGAATATTCCCGTTTACACACGTCCGATTTTTATCACCCGAAGACCTGGAGAGGCTAAATCAGTGAACTCTACTGTAGATAATCTGTACAGAGGGGTATCTACAGGACACCCAGTATTAACACCAACCAGAGACAGCTTGTCACCACACACCAACAAACAGTGGAACCAGTATGTAGCACGGATACCATGCTAGCAGCTGAACACTCTCATGGCCCAAGTGTCAAGCCAGTCTGTCCATTTGTAGTGACGTCTCAATGAATGTGTCAAAGGGAGACAACTCTTGTTGGCGACAAGAGTTGTTGTTCTTTACTGATTTGATTAGTCAAACTGTTAATCTGCATTAGGTTGAAGAGTAAAGGGGTTTTGGTTCTGAGTTTCATGAATTTTCTTATAAAGTTTGTCTGGAACTAAGGAAATTGTGTATTTGTTCTTGAAATAAGTTCAGAAGAAACAGGACCGTGTAAAATGTTTCGAAGACACAATGACGGTAAAAAGAATATGTAAGCAAGACATGGTAATAGATATATTTAGTAAATTACCAGGACCTCACCGTGAATAAGCCTTCTATAGCATCAGTCATTTGTTTCAACATTTCACCTGTGTAATGTACAGACTTCTTTCAGAAGAAAATCAATAGTTAATGCTTCATTTTGAGTAATTCCAATGAATGAGTTGTTGTTCTGGGTTTGCCACTAACCCAGTTTTGACTTGTTAATTTTCTGAATTGATGAAATTATGTTATTTGTAATTTCTCATGTTATGCTTATATTGTATAATATATACCTCCACACCTGTTTACATGTAAATACTGTAGGGAATATGAGCTTTGAGCCAATAGACTCTGTAGCTATGATCAGTGTATCATAAGATAGGTAGATGTGGATAATCAAAATAATTCATGTGTAATATGAAATGATTTTTTAATCCAGAACCCCTGTTGTTGACATACATCGAGGGAACGTTGAGTCTCTCTTATTGGGTTTCTGTATGAGTTATTTCCCTTTTTAGTGCTCAATTGACTATATAGGACCATTACAAGGTGTTTGGGGATCAACCCCAAAATATAATGTCAGATTTGTTCACTTTGTTTTAAATATTAAACTTTTCTCTTTACTACCAAATTTGTCCTGATTTCTTTCAATCACTACTTATGTTTGTGATCAATGCCAATATGATAGGCAATCTATCAGTTCAAGTTGCAGTAGATTGTCATCATTTAACACAATTAACATATTTCATTATTGTTTTGGTTGGTTAGTTGTACAGAAGTGTGTCACAATGTATTCTCAACTATAACAATATTCATGAATGTTGTTCATTATTAAATAATTATCATGTTTGACTCTGGCCAGTTATCAGTCTGCCACTGGTGATGGACTGCCATGTTGAAGACACATCTCTATCTGTGGGGACGTGGTGCTGAAACTAGTTACCATAGTGACAGACCTGCAACTCAGGATACAGTATTTTTTAGCCTGGACCATTTTGTTTCTTGTCTTATGAATTGTCTGAGCCAAGATGAAGCACAGATTTAAATGCAGTGATCTTAGATGGACATGTTGAAGTGGCGAGCCCAGCAAACTGCATGCAAACTTGTTGAAAGTTGACTGATAACAATATTCCCCCGCACACCATGTTTGAGAGCCCCTATATCTAGACATGGAATGAAAGCAGACACACTGTGTTTGAGAGCCGCCATATCTAGACATGGACTGAAAGAAGACACACTGTGTTTGAGAGCCACCATATCTAGACATTGACTGAAAGCTAGACGCACTGTGTTTCAGAGCCGCCATATCTTGACATGGACTGAAAACAGACACACTGTATTTGAGAGCCACCATATCTAGACATGGACTGAAAGCAGACACACTGTGTTTGAGAGCCACCATATCTAGACATGGACTGAAAGCAGACACACTGTGTTTGAGAGCCACCATATATAGACATGGACTGAAAGCAGGCACACCATGTTGAGAAAAATACTATTAATGCGTACCTCTTGAAAAAAAGCTGTTTTTCAAAACAGTTTGTTTTGTTTTTATATATATTGAGGCAGATGTTCTGTATAACAATGAAACAAGATGGTCTGGCTTGATATGAAAATATCTCTCACCACATTCAGTGAACAATACATTTTGTATAGATGTTTTGAAGAAATACACTATATTTTAGTACCCCAGACTTTACATGAATGTATAAAGCATGAGAAGAGTGAGGAGAGCCTTCCTCATGTAGTACTATCAGTGCACGACAGCCCAGCATCGTCAGGGCCTTCAGTTGACTACATAGCAATAATTGTGGCGTTGTTGGTACCTGCCAGGCTTTGTGAACACAACTTTCCTCCATCTTCTCTGAATACATATTACTTGCGATGAACTTCTGATGTTTCCATTCTGTTGACTGATGAAATGACACTCACAAAACTGTGTGAAGATAACATTGCCTGGTATTGACGCAGTGGCAGCCTGCTCACCAGAACTAGTCTGTGGTGTAACTATAGTGACGACATCACAGGTTGGACATTAGTATTGACAGATGGAGGAGGAAAGTGTTGACAATGGAATTGGGAACATTTCCTGTGAAGTGTTGACAGTGGAATTGGGAACATTTCCTGTGAAGTGTTGACAGTGGAATTGGGAACATTTCCTGTGAGGTGTTGACAATGGAATTGGGAACATTTCCTGTGAAGTGTTGACAATGGAATTGGGAACATTTCCTGTGAGGTGTTGACAATTGAATTGGGAACACTTCCTGTGAAGTGTTGACAGTGGAATTGGGAACATTTCCTGTGAGGTGTTGACAGTGGAATTGGGAACATTTCCTGTGAAGTGTTGACAGTGGAATTGGGAACATTTCCTGTGAAGTGTTGACAATGGAATTGGGAACATTTCCTGTGAAGTGTTGACAATGGAATTGGGAACATTTCCTGTGAAGTGTTGACAATGGAATTGGGAACATTTCCTGTGAGGTGTTGACAATGGAATTGGGAACATTTCCTGTGAGGTGTTGACAGTGGAATTAGGAACATTTCCCGTGAGGTGTTGACATTGGAATTAGGAACATTTCCTGTGAGGTGTTGACAGTGGAATTAGGAACATTTCCTGTGAGGTGTTGACAGTGGAATTAGGAACATTTCCTGTGAGGTGTTGACAGTGGAATTAGGAACATTTCCTGTGAGGTGTTGACATTGGAATTAGGAACATTTCCTGTGAGGTGTTGACAGTGGAATTAGGAACATTTCCTGTGAGGTGTTGACAGTGGAATTAGGAACATTTCCTGTGAGGTGTTGACATTGGAATTAGGAACATTTCCTGTGAGGTGTTGACAGTGGAATTAGGAACATTTCCTGTGAGGTATTGACAGTGGAATTAGGAACATTTCCTGTGAACAAATATGAAACAAACCAAAGACAACACATATGTCTATGCATGAGTATGGTCAGTGTTTCAGTGGTATGTTCACAGAATGGGGAGACTCAAATAATGGATACTGAGAAGTGAGGTAACATAGTGTATCTTTTGTCACAGAATTATGGCTTTATATTGAGATGAGTTTAGTGTTTAGTAGTGTGTACAGGGCTGGGGCTTACTTGAACAGTGTCTTGCATGCCATGTGTATGAGGAAATGTCCTCGCCAAGTGCTCAAACACTGTGACCAGTCACCTTTATTTTTGTACGCAAGGTTGTGCACTGATCTATAAAGTATTTTTATACTTTTACACAAAAGCAGAATCTCTCAAAACTCACCTCATATTTGATTATTTTCTAAAGGTGTAATTTGTAAAGATTTTGGTACTCTTGTCTGGGGCCGTTCAATCAACTGACTTGTGACTGTAGACATAAGTATATTGGTTGTATTAGTACTGCAAGGTAACAGACATGTCCCTGCTGTTGACACACGCCTATCCTCTACTGCCAATCTAACCTGCCCCATCTATCCTCCAACCACCCAAACACTGGCCTCCACCCACCCCTATCTATGACTCGCCCCCATTGCCCACCCCTATCTATGACTCGCCCCCATTGCCCACCGCTATATATGACTCACCCCCATCACCCACCCCTATGTATCCTGACTCCCCTATCTATGACTCTATGACTCACCCCCATCGCCCACCCCTGTCTATGACACTCTTATCTATGACTCCCCCCATCGCCCACCCCTATCTATGACTCACCCCATCGCCCACCCCTATCTATGACCTCTTATCTATGACTACTCTTATCTATGACTCGCCCCCATCGCCCACCCCTATCTATGACTCGCCACTTATCCAGTATAAGGCCAACATTCTTAGGAGGTCTTCAGTTCTGCCTGGATGTCCGTGACCTGTTCTTATTACGATGTAAAGTATCATTCCATATTGATGTCAACATTAGTCCACACCTTCTCCTCACTCCAGCATCTTCTACCTGTCTGATTACTTCCCTTGAAGTAGAGAGTATCCCTGTAGATACGTGTTTGCTCATTACATGTCACAGATCCAGACCCTAATGTGGGTTTCATCCATGAACCCATATTGTCACTCTTACATATATTATTGCTGGAAGATCAAGATATTGTCAACTGAATACGCTTGCTGCCCATTGACTGGGCCGTGTCTCCAGCCCTACAAGCTCATAACCTGCTGTCCCACCCCAGCTATGCCCAACACAACACCCCGCCTACTTCTAACCACCACTTTGGGTGCGGTGGGGTAGCCTAGCAGATAAAGCCTTCACTCATCAGGCCAAAGACCCAAATTCAATTTCCAAAATGGGTGCAATGTGTGAAGCCCATTTCTGGTGTCCTCCCTCATGACATTGCTAGAATATTGCTAGAAGCGGGATAAAACCAAACTCACTCACTCGAACCACAACTTTGACAGCCCCAAACTTCCCCCTCCCCACACCCCCACCCTTTCCTTGTCCCTCATATCAAACAAGCTCAAATCATCACCCATATATTCCCATACCATCCAAACATGAAGAAAACCTACCAAGCACATCTTCCTGACATCTTTCCCCTTACCCATACATACAGTAGAGCGCCAATAACCCTGAACCATCACATGTTGAAAGATGAAGTGTTTACCGTTGCACAAATAACCTGGGTGACCATGGCTACGCATGAAGCAGTTCCAACAATATACTAAATCGCGGGGGTAGAATAGGTCTTCAGCAGCTCATGCCTGCCACAAAAGGCGACTATGCTTGTTGTAAGAGGCGACAAACGGGATCGGGTGGTCAGGCTCGCAGACTTGGTTGACACATGTCATCGGTTCCCAATTACGCAGATCGATGCTGATGCTGTTGATCAATGGATTGTCTGGTCCAGACTCGATTAATTTCAGACCGCCGCCGTATAGCTGGAATATTGCTGAGTGCGGTGTAAAACAAAACTCACTCACTCACTAAATCGTGTATCATTACACTTCCGATTAATATATTCAACTGGATGTATTTAGTGGAAGCAGAGGTGAGCTCAGGTCCTCCACAGAGCAATAAAGTCTTGTCATGAATTTATGTGACAGTTGCGAAGTCTCTTTTGGGCATTCATACTAACACGTCTTCAGGATTCCCCATGGCATATTGACCTGTCAAGTAATTTGTGTCGCCATTAGACCTGTAGAGTTCTGTTGTTTGATTGAGACATAGTAGTTGAGTGTCTTCACATTCGTTATCCTTGTCATAAGGAGGACTGACACATACTGAGAAATATATTTTGGATGCAAATCGGAATCAAGTATTTTTTTAGTATTTCAAACCCAAAATGGAAGTAATGATGACAATTAGTATAGGATGTTATTTGGAAGATTTTTATACCCCAGCTCATGTAGTAACACACTTGGTCCAGCTTGTGATTATTTGCCTGCCTGCATCCAACTGTTATTTCTGACCAGAAACGGTCTGCATATTTAATATTTCCTGTTGGACATGCTTCAAGTGAATAACTGATCTCTGTGTGGGTCTGCACATCTATTTATCCTTGACTTTGTGTGTTATATTGCCTGGCTTATTGTGTGTTATATTGCCTGGCTTATTGTGTTTTATATTGCCTGGCTTCAGACTTAGGTAGGACTGTCAGCTTCTAGTTCCTATTGTGAACTTTCCATGTGAGGTCATCACACACAG